TATTGTCTGGCAGCTGCACCCATAGTGACGAACAGAAGGATATACCATGGCAGGCGGACTTCGAAGAACATCTTGAAGTCCAGAATACCAAACATTCTAGGGTTAAGCTCGGCACCCATGAAGAAATCATAAATGGGATACCCAGTCATACGGTGCTCTGCGCCTCGAGCCAACGCTGAAAAGTACGCGACGAAGGAAACAATGAAACCAGAGAGAATGGCCACGTTCATGAGAGGTCCGAATTCATCGATGATCGTGTGAAGCTTGAAAATGCCGGTGAAGTGGAGCAATAAAGCCAAGGCGATTGTCGTGTAGAAGGACCAGACAGCGGAACAGTAATAAGGGAGCTGCTTTCCTCCGAGGTGCGGCAGAGGACGACCCATGACGGTGATACCAGGGAGAAGCACGTAGCAAGCCCCCTCAAAGATGAAAAATACCCAATATATCGTCCATGCTTTCAAAGACGGGAAAGCACCCGCATAGAGTAAGTTACCAAGATGCGCGAAGAACTCAGGGATGCTCTGGCCCGGCTCAGGAAGCGGCGGTTTGCCATCGTAATAGGTGGCACCGAGCCACATGTATTCCATCAGCATCGGAAATCCGATCATCATACACAATACACCCAAAGACCCGCCAAACTCGAAATGTCCGCTGTGATCGACCTTGGGGTCCTTGCCCTCCTCCCAGCCATCAATGATGCGTGGCTTCTTGCCGTTCGAAATGGCGGCGTGTCCACTGGTCGCGGGCGTGTTTGTCTCTTCCTCCGAGGTCTGCTCGATCTTAACCTTGGGAGACGAGCGCTTTCGAGACGATGACTTGGCTTGTCCTGAAGCATCTGCTGCTGAATCGGAAGTGTCGTCGGATGGCGCAACGCTGCTGCGGGTAACTCGGCGACCGGGGGTCTCGATGAAGCCAGGACGCTCCATTTTCCTAGCCATTGATCCAACTGTGAGCTCAAAGTGGCCGTGAAGGTATTCTGCGCGCAGGTGAAGTCAAAGCGAAGGGAAAGAGAGGGGGGGTTTGAAGTAATTAGACTGCGCAGGCAGTCGAATTCCTTGTTGGGAGATTTTCACCCTTGCGCAAAACAAATCACTTACTTGGGGGTTTTTCCCGTTTGGGAGCGAGTCACGGTCATTGTGCGCGGACCATGCAGTCAATTGAGTTTAATAATATTTTTCGAGTGTAGGTATAAGGGAACGATTGAGATGAAGTACCCCACAGAGCTGATATTGTACAAACAGAGGGTGGGTAGGGGAGAGAGGGAGGGAAAAGAGAGAATGATGGGGCGATCGAGGAAGAACAACAGTGCCCAGTGCCCACCAGGGTCGGGGAAACACTAAGACTGAGTGGGTTCTTTACCCGCGCGGTGGCACTTCCACAGTGCGTAGGAACTATAGGTTACACTACGAGTACTACAACCAGTCGGTCAGTGCCTGTAGATTACAGTTTCAGCAACATATTCCTTTTCATGGCTTGACTGTACTCTGGTTGGGAGCTCACGTAGCTTGTACGTCCTAACAATGATCTTTCAAGCTTGTAATTAGTCTGCACTCTTCCAATACTTAACGTAGTGGGATCTGCAGGGGAAAGGGATCTGAACACCTGGCTAAAGACGCATACCAACCGACTCACACTCAATGATTGGCCTGGCTGGCCGAACAAACTGCATCCCCCACAGGCCCTATTGATGACTATGACAACTTCAAATTACACGTTTATCCTTCGTGTTCGTATTGGACAGTACAATATAAACGAGATACAGGAATGTATATTTATCATTGATCATACATAAGTTTAAACATTTGGCGTCTACATGCGAATTTGCCTTGTGACTCCCAATCCATGTCCACATGTCCCCTTGCCCCCTGTAACGAAATTCCATCTATGAGGTCCTAAGTAGTCAAGCGCCTCTTTGGATGTTAGTCGACATGAGTGTGATTTTCTTGTTTTTCTTTTTCTTCCCACCCGAAGAGGAGGCGGGTGTACTGGCCCCCTCAGCAGCTGATTGAGCGAGAGCCTCTCGCTCTTGCTGGGCCCAGAGCTCTTCTTCCCAGCCTCGAAGCCAACCATCAGAAGCGGCTGCCTGAGAGCTGGACGGCTGAGAAAGTGGTGCCACCGCTGCCGTGCCCCAGACTGTTCGACTGCTGGGCGGACTTGTTGATGAAGACTCCAAGCCCTCCTCCTCCGGAGGAGACATCTCAAGGCCTGGAGCGCCGCTTGCTAAAGGCTGAAAATCACGGTCAGAAAATGGAGGGTCACTGCTGCTACCAATACTAAGTCTTTTTCGGTACGCAGAAGCCCAGCCCTTCTCGTTTTCCTCCCGCTCAGCACGGATGCGATCCTTTTCCTCTCGGGCCTCTTTATCTCGATTCCGCTTTCTCCGCCTGTCGGTTTCAGACTTGAATTCCTGCAGAATCTCGGGCTGAACGACATCGCGCCAATCACATTCGAGGAAGTTCACTTCGCATCCATAGGGGAGATGACCGAGATATTTGACCCTTTTTCGAAGCTCGTCGTCGACAATATGCCCAGTGGAGATTCGTTCAACCCGTGGTAGAATCGTGGCAGGGAATGAAGGATAATCACCAAAGGCGGCCTTAAGAATGCGAATGTCCAGCGGGGAAAGATAGAAATGAGGTAGAGCTTGGTAGAAGTAAAACGGGTGTTCAAGGCCACGGCCAGTCCCAAGATCTCTCTTTTTGTTCTTGGAGCTGGTCGAGTTCAGGTCGAGCTGATCGAGCGCCTCAGTCGCACGCTCCGCATTGTGGGCAGTCACCTTGCTCTCTAGGGACCCGTCAAGACCTTCGCCTTCAGATGAAAAGGTTTCTGCAGATGAGCCTTTGCCTGATTGTGCAGCATCTTGTAACGTAGAATTCACGGCAGCTCCAGCTTCCGATGGTAGGTTGACAAATCGTAGCTCAACATTCTCTGGAGGGTTTCCGATGCCATCTAATCTGGACTTCGCTTCATTGATGGTGGCAACTGCCTTCCTGCTCCATGTAGAATCGTCCCCAAACAGAAGTTCGTCTTCTACCTCTTGCGCTCGCAATCCGGAAATCTCTGCATCGTATTGGTCCTTCATGTAGTCCTCACCTCCCTTCATGATCCGCGCATAGTCGGCGACTTCAGCAACATTGTACCATGGAATATCCGCACCGGGAGCGATGTCTTCGGCCCCGTCTCTAGGCAGCGCTAGGGTGCTGCCAGGCACTCTTTTGACCAACCTTAAAACGACGTCGCCGCCTTCGACGGGAAGATCACCTTCTTGACCACGAAACCAACGCACAGGGCGTGCCTCGGAGATGTAGATCGAATCCCAGCAGATGGGACATTTTTTCCAGCGTGGCTTCTTCTCAGGCACCGGATGTTCCTCATCAGTTGAATGCATGTAGCGAATGAGGCAGGGGAGGCAGAAGATGTGACCACATCGAGCCATTCGCGGGGCAACCGGAGTGGAGAGACAGATAGGACAACTGGCGGACTGAGTTTGTTCCGACACCAGGACTTGAAGAACTGAATCCCAGTCCAAGTGAACGTCGGCGTTAGCCGCCTGGGTGTGATAGTTCTGGGTTGGATTCACAATGAAACGGTAGTTTGCATGAACATAGCGGGCCTTATCCACCGCGTGATAACCGGAGCCCGGGCCCCAGGAGGTATAACGGCGGGCATTGCGGGGCGGAGGCTGATACTGAGGGCGTGGGGGAAGAGAGAAATTCATGAGATGCGTGATGGACGTTTGCCCCTTGCGGCTGGTTGAAGACTTCATGATAGCCTGCATTGGTCGCACCGGTTAGTTCATCCAGACACCGCTAGATCTTGCCATAGAGGGCATACCGATTCACTGTAATCGTCATCATCTAACACTTTCGGGCGCCGTTGTCGCTGAGTCCTCCTCGCCTGATTGTTTCTGGGGGAGCTAGGGGTCCTCGACGTTAAGCCGGCCCCAAAACTGCCAGAGCCTCCAGCGCGTCGTTGCGCGCTATTCTCAGATGAATGGTATGTCGCGGGGGCTGGCTGACTCGGGACATTCACCGCTTTGGATGTGGGAATCTGGCCAGGGTTGGACGACATTATTATGTGCAATCAAGGAGGAGGATGGCGTGAAGTGAGGTTGACTACCTTCCTATAAAGGGGAAAATAGTGAATGACGGCCGCGCATAAATGATGGGAGCTTGTGGAAATACTGAGTAGAAAGGTGAGGGAGGTTTGGAGAAGGACTGAAGATAAGATGAGGGTGATCAAGAGAACAATCACGAAGACCCCGAAGGGTAGCGCAAAGGAGAGGGAGAAGCACCAGAAACCTGAGGCTTCCCCTGTCGCATCAGAACAAATAGATAGAACGCGCAAGAAGAGAAGAGAGGGGAAGAGGAAGAAGAAGAGTAGGAGAGGGAGGGAGGAGGAGGAGGAGGAGGGGATTCGGGACTCGGGAGGGGCGAGTATGTCATGTCTTGGCGGCCTGCTGGAGCCTCAGGCACGTGCCGACCGCCAAAAAAACATCATCTCATTCTCAGCTCCTCCCCAGCCAAACCCGCCTATTGCCCCCTCCGCTGCTGCTACTCCCACCCCGGGTGTTTTCCATTGTTCACCTACTTACACCCTTCCCCTCGCATCCCAAGATTCTCAAGATTTTTTTTATTTTTAGAGCTAATTACACCTTTACATGTCATCGCCCTAGGTCAGTACTTCATTTTCATTTGAGCTTCGAGTCATCGTGCCCTTCTCCAAGCTCTCTGGCGCACCCTCTCCGTCTTCTCGTCTTCTCGTCATCGCGCTGATCCCTTTCGACGCCTCAGGACTTCTCACCGCCAAAGAACCTCTTCACAAATTTTCTAGTCCTAGCTTTCAGACTTGGTACTGAAAGTTAGAATGGCTGCTTAGACGGGTGCAAACCCCCCTCATCAGTCCAGTCTTTCTCTTACGATCTCGTATGGCTCCCATTGAGGCAACGCGTGGCTGAATCGTCAAGGCGACTTCCCTCTCCTCCCAACTGCCTGGACAAGATGAACCACCATCTGCCCGCTATGCCCCATGGGCAGCCACCCATGCCGCCCACCCCTCGTCGACAACAAGATATTCCCTACACCGCAGGCCCTCCGAACATGCGATCTCCGCCTGCGTACATGGGCTTTCATCCCCATATGAACGGCCATCCTCCCCCGGCCGCATACACGCCCCAACAATATTCCCACTGGTACCCCTATCCTCCCATGCAGATGCCTCCCCGCCCATACCAGCATCCATATGGCCCGATGTATGTCGCGACCTACCCGCCCTCCCAGCCGATCATGGCGCCAGCGCACATCCATCCTCCGACGCTTCCTATGCAGCCCAGAACTTCAACTCCCCTGCAACCTACCATGTCTCCCGTTGGCATGGCGTCTGTGCCTTTAGCAAACCAGGCGCAATCACCCGCAGTTATTCCGGCCCAAGCACTGGCAAGTCCTGTTGTGCCTTCACCACCGCCTCCAGTCCCTGTTCAGGCCGAACCTGCCCCCAGAGAGCCATTTTGCCCACCGGTAAGCGCTTGATTTCAATCATCATTATGCCGTTATCTAACAGAGGTTAATCACTAGCTTCCATGGCTGTCCGATCCTGAATCGCCTTTTCCTGCCAGAGCTCCTCGCAGGCGTCGCAAAGGCCGTGCATTCCAATCTTCATCGGCCTCAGTTGAACTCCCAGTGAAGGACGCTCAGCGGCTTGAACACAATGCGAGACAAGGCGCAGAGAATGCGGAAAGTGTGCCAACACCCTCAGAGCCCCAGACGCCGACCTTATCTGTTGCCCCATCGGTTGCGAATTCCACTCAACCCACCACTCCATCCTCGGTGACTCAGACCCTCTCTGGTCGCCCCCAGTCTCAGACGAAAGGCCCCAAGTCCACTGCTCCGGTCGTTCCGGTCGTTCCTGTTGTTCCTGCTCCTGGAACTCCTCGCCAGGCTCTTAAAGACGAGGCCGCTCGCTCTTCAGAGACGCCGAAGAGTACTAGTATCAGCGGCACTAGTGAAGTGACCGAGGAGCAGGAGCCTGTCAAGAAAATCCAGCCCGCTCCTGCAGCACCTAAATCCTGGGCAGACTTGGTTAAATCCAAGTCCTTGGCTAAAGCAGCCGGTACCTCTGGATCTTCTGCTGCTGCGACCAACGGTGTTGTTAAGCCTAAAAGTAAGATGATCGCTGATGTTTTGATGAGCTTGGGAGAAGATGTTTCTCAGTACAGCGACAAAATTGGATTCCTGGAGCCCAGAGGCCTTGTCAATACTGGCAATATGTGCTACATGAACTCGGTAAGTTCGTAATCCACTCGCAGTCCATTCCGTAATTCTAACCGGGGAGCAGGTCCTGCAAATTCTGGTCTTCTGTGTCCCCTTCTACCAATTTCTGGAACACATTGGGCGGAGAGCATCACACAGCTTCACTAGTGACTACCCCATGATCGATGCATTGTTAGTGATGCCCGTTCCGCCGTTGTTTTAGATTCCAACTAGACTGACTTTATTCTAGGATCATGTTTATGAGGGAGTTTCGCGTCATTGATGCTGCTGACACAGAGGAGCAGTTGCGGCTTAGGCTGAAGGCCAATGAGCTCGAGCAGTATGGTGACGCTTTCATCCCGGAGTTTGTTTACCATGTGATCCGGCAGCTGCCGCGATTCCGTGACATGAGAGTGAGTGGTTTCCTCCAGAAACAGAGAAGCGTCATATACTAACTCCGCTCGGTTAAAGCGTGGCCACCAGCAAGATGCACAGGAATTCTTAGGTTTCCTTCTGGAGGAGATGCACGAGGAGTGCAGCCGTGCTGCGAAGGAATTACCATCTACCACCACGACTTCGAACACCGATGCGGGCAATGCAACCGAAGAATCTGATGGTTGGTTGGAAGTCGGCCACAAGCAAAAGGCAGCAGTCACACGCTCGTCTGGCGACATTTCCCAGGAATCCCCGGTCACGAGAATCTTTGGAGGAAAGATCCGATCCGAGTTCAAGGTTCCCGGTAACAAGACTTCTGTTACTTTGGAGCCCTACCAGCCGCTGCAGCTTGACATCGGGTCCCCCGAGATCAACAACATCATTGACGCTCTCAAGGGCTTGACGAAGCCGGAGAGCATCCAGGGAGATTTCAATTCTGCACGTGGCCCCAACGTCACTGCCACCAAGCAGGTTTTCATCGAAACCCTGCCCCCAGTCCTTATTCTCCATCTCAAGCGATTCCAGTACGACAGCGTCACCAACGGTACCCAGAAGATCTGGAAGCGGATTGGATACCCCCTTGATCTGGAGATCCCACGCGAGGTGTTTCCACCTAACAAGCGCAACGTCATGATGGCACAGGGCGGACTGCCCAAGTACCGACTTGTTGGTGTCATTTATCACCACGGCAAGAATGCCAGTGGCGGCCATTACACTGTTGATGTCCGCCGGCAAGATGGCCGTGAGTGGATTCGGTTGGATGATACTGTGATCCGTCGCGTGCGCAGCGAGGATGTTGCAGAAGCCGGTGGCGAGGAGGATCCTAAGGTTCTGGCTGCCGCGATGGAACAGCATAAGCGGGACAGCTCCAATGCTAATATTTTCGACCACATCGACCAGGATGACCAATCTGACAATGAGAGAGGATGGAGCCAGGTCAATGGCACGCCAGGCAAGAAGTCCGGCACCAACGGAGCATCGGCGCCACCTAGCACCACCCGGTCATCTGCCGGACGTTATAATGCTCGTGACAACAAGGTGGCATACCTGCTATTCTACCAACGTATTGCTTAGATCCTATAAGTGTTGTTTGGACAGATAAGAAAGAAGCAAGAACGATAGACCCAGCCAAACAACAATCAATACACCTTCCGACACTCCGGGACTAGGTATTCGCTTGTTGCCTCATACGAGGACAACCCTCAAGGACTGATATTCAGCCATCAATTCCAGGACCATATCAAGGTTCAACTGGCAGGCAGCAAACCACCAGCTGGCCACCAGCTGACCAGTAACCACGAGTCCGTGACCACACCTCCCACAACTTTCCAATAGCATAAGTCAGCGCGGGGACTGTTGGGCACGTTCCCTGCGACGACGTTTCGCTGTTCGAGACTTGTTATGCTATTTTCTTTTCCTATGTCGCTGCTTATGGCGGGATTATCCCAATCTATTCGTATTGTACTGCGATATGCTTTTCTCTTCTTTTCTCTATCCTCTTTTTTTGACTTGTGGTTATCATGATACATTTTTCTCTCTCATTTTGTAGTTGATCCACCTCCTTCACGATCTTTTGCGTTTGCGGTGCAGTCCGGTGGGATGTCGCTCTGATATATACCCCAGTTTCCTCGCATAGCCCTTTGGTTTGCTCGCTGATGCAGATGGGTTCTTTTGATGTGGCGTGGACGGGTTTATTAACGACTGCATGAATTTCTTTTATAGACTTGTCTATCAAGAAGATCTTGATAGAGGGAAGAACGGAGGGGGTGGTGAGTAGGGGGTTCGGCTGGCTTGGATGATGATTATGATGGGTTGCATGTGGGGGATTATCTGTTGCGATCAGACATTTAGGACTCTCTCTTTCTACTAATGTTGTGTGGTGTGGTATGGTGTATGCAAATCTGGGCGGCGGAGGTCGTTTCAAAAGAAGGATTGGAGTTACGACTTTAAAAAAAGCGTTGAGAAATAAAATGCGTTTAGATAAGAGATACCATGGTTCTTGTAGCAGTAAATGGACAAATTTGACTTGGATATTTGAGGGAGGACAATGGTAGGGCGAAGTTTCCACTGTCTACTTGTCCTCGGCAATGGCCACCGCCGAATGCACACTCTGGTCTTCGGGCTGGAACAGCTCCACCAGCTTTAGAAAGCTTTCCTCCTCGCTCGCCAGCGCCTGATCCGGTTGGTAACCCTTGTAGCGTTCGTGTCCAGTAACCACGCGCAAGATTTCCTCCACCTGCTCCGTCTCCAACGCCTTGCCAACTGCAGCCCCCGTGTCCAGCCTCCACGGCCCACGCCACGCAGCATGAGTATCCGGCCGCACCAGGACCAAACTCGCTCCCCAGACGCGGTGCGCATGAGTCTCGTTGACCAGCCTCACCAGCTTGAGCGGCATCCCCAAGGTGGCGGAAACGGTGACAAACGTTCCCGCCGTAGCAGCAGCACAGCCAACCTCCCCTCCGCCGTGCCGTAGCGAGCCCTCCTCCTCCACGAAATGAACCAGACTCCACGCCGACCCAAACTCATCATAGATACTCCTCTCCTTCCCCAGCACCCCATCCCCGCTCACATCCCCCCCTCCACCCTCCAAACCCCGCAAGAAAACATGAGGAACCCTACGCCCCGGCCTCGTTGAAGGAACATACGTCTCCGCCTCCCAGGCCCGCTCCTTCTCGGCATCATCATCCTCATTCCCATTCCCCCAAACCCCAAAAGACCCGTACCTCAAATCCAACTCCACCCCGCGATCCAGCGTCTCGGGCCCAGACCCCTCCAGAAACGCGCGGATCTTCTGCCTCGGCGCGGCGGCCTCCGGGTCGTCGTCGTCGTCCCGCTCCAGAATGCCAACGGGGTCCGGGAACATCGCGGCCAGCTTGAGATGCTCAAGGAGGTGGCGGTGCGAGCGCGCCAGGGCTCGGATCATGGCCGGACGCCGGTCGAGGGTGTACGATTGCAGGAGCAAGGGCCCGCCGTAGGGGGTTGGAGATTGGGTGAGGGCGGCGAGGCGCCAGGCGAGGTCGAAGGCGTCGGCTAGGCCGCTGTTTAGACCGTATCCGCCGTGCGGGGGGGTGCGGTGGGCTGGGTTTCGTTTTGTGTTAGGTAGGAGCTTATCCTAGTATGGAGTAGGTGGTGTGAGGTGTTGGGATTATGGAAGGTAGGTAGAAGGGGGTATATTAAAAGGTGTAGTGCAGGAAAGGTAATGTGTGTAGTCCCGAGGTATAGGTATACTTCAGCCTGGGAAGGGGAAGGGGATAGATAATCAAAACTCACCCGCATCACCCGCAAGCACGACTCGCCCACCCTCACTAAGATACGTTTCGGCGATACTGAAATTCGGGATCCAGGCACTGTGCACTAGGATCTCGTCGATCTGGATCACCGCCTTCTGACTGGGAAGCGGGCCCCCGAGAGTCCGATACACCACGTCCTTCGGGTCGATCTCCTCCCCCTGCGGGAGCAAGTGGATAGGGAAATGCGCGGTGAAGGTATCCTTATCGTCCTGGTCGAGGATGAACCCCCCGTTCGTGGGGAAGATATGCCAACAGCGGCCGAAGGGGAACGAGCGCGCCAGTTCCTGGGAGCGGAAGTGGACGAGGTAGAAGCGCATGGGCCTGGGCTTCATGTCAATGGGGGGATCGAGGGGGGACTGAGATTGGGGGAGGGAGAAATGTACATCGGTCCCCCGAGCATGCGGATGCCCGCAGCGTGACGCACGCGACTGCCTCCTCCATCTGTGCCGACGAGGTAGCGACTGCGCACGCGATGCTCGACACCTGTCGCAACATCGAGGAAGGTCGTCCACACCACCCCGGTCGTCGCGTCTTCGTCGTGGTGCAGGTACTTCCATCCTAGACGGATCTGCATCGCCGCGTTGCCGGTGTTCGCTTGCGCGAGGATGAGCTTCCGGATCCATGCCTCGAAGATGACCTGCGAGCAGCGCTGGCCCGGTTCGGCGGGTTGAGTGCCGTCGTTGGTCTGGCGGATGGACTCCCGCTGCGTGACGACGGAGGGGACGGGCTTGTTTGGCGCGTGAGTTAGTGGGACTGGGGCTGAATAGGGGACAGAGACAGAGGGTGATGCGAAGTGAGTGTGTTGGGATTGAGCTTACCCAAGTGCCTAGGAGCTTGCTCTCTGGTCCGATGATCCGGGTCACGAACTGCGTGTCGAAGTCGGTGGAGACAGGCACGCTGTTTTCCTGGGCGCGGTAGTCGTCGGCCAGACCCATAACGCGCAGGATCTCCATGGAGCGACAGTTGGTGAGATCCATCTTGGGCCATTTGGTGGTCTGGGTGTTCTGATCGGCGATGAGGAAGGGGACGTTGAATTGGTTGAGGCGGTAGGCCAGAAGCATGCCGACGGGGCCAGCGCCCACGATGGTGATCGGGGTGTCGTAGTCTTCTTCCATGGTCATGGTGTTGTGTGTGATGACATGAAAAGCAGGAAAAGAAGGTGGGAAGTAGGAAGCAGGAAGCAGGAAGCTGAAAATTGAGGGGTTCTTAAGAAACCGAGACACAAGTCAAGTGGGTGGAACTATTGATTAAGCTTCACCGATCTGACTTGATCGGCCAAAATCATTCACTGTGATCAGCACAAGGAAAAGAACTATCACACTGTCACCTCAATATTTTATGCCAAGTACGTACAGTTTCTCCAATCACAAACTAGAAGATAAGGTATATACAGCAATTGTCCCCCTCATTCCATCTGCCTCACGTCAGCATCATGACACCTTCATGTACAAACATTCTTCTCAATACGATCTCCACTCCCACCCTACGCCCTCGTATCAATCTATGATCGACTAGCCACACAGCGCATTGTTGGCCAGTCCCCCACACCTCCAGGCTTCAGCTCCCCCTGCAGCCCCACCACCACACCTTAAGCCGCATTTCCAGCCTCATTATCATGAGTGACCAGATTCACCGGCCGAGCGGGTTCGTCCGCACCACCAACCCCGATTTGATCGCGCGGAGATGCCGTCGGAACCACCGGGCGGCTAATCTGGAGAACTGTCTGCTGGGGTGGATCCCTGGACGTGGTACCAGCACCGCGTTTCCGGCCCCGACTGTGCGACAACTCTGAGTTGCGCGTCGCGGTACTATGGGTGAAGCTGATGTTTTCAATGGGAATAGGTTCTTGTTCTTGAGTCGCGCTGGTGCTGAGAGCCTGCGAGATAGTTCGGGGCAGATGGTAGCCCGCTTTAGCCAGCGGTATGGAGAGGCCGTGCACAACCTGCAGATTGGGTTAACAGAGCAGGTTTCCACGAGGAAGGAAGGCGTGGCCGGAATGAAAAGTACGACTTACAATGCTGCAGATGACCAGGAACCACACAATGACATCGACTGCCTCGGAAAGCTTCTGCGCGTCTTCACGCACGGTGCCGTTGGCTGTAACTCCCTGCAGGAATTCCCGACACACCGACAAGTAGAAAATGGCTCCTACGCCGATGGGTCCGAAAAAGCCCACAAACCCCGCTTGGTACAGGTGCTCGATCTGGTGAATGTACTTGTGCATGGCAAACACAATCGGCATGCGACGGACGAGCAGAATCAGAATGCCCAGAAAAATCAACCGATAAATCGGAATGACACTGTTGTTGAGGAACGACGACCAGGGGCAGACGGCGCCAAACCACATGAAGACCGCCAAGTTGAGAAGCATATCGATAGTGGGCTGCAACGAGTCATCCATCGTCTCGAGTCGAAACCAGTCGCTAATCAGTCAGTACCAGCTGAATCGTCAGGAAAGTGGTCTCTTACTCTTGCGTAAACACATTACCAGCCACGAAGCAGGCAAGCAAATCATCGGTTCCAATCAATCCACAAGTACCGACAATGAACAGCTGCAACCGTAATCAGCAATGTACGCAATTCGGACCACACTCAAACCTACCGAAAGAGCGATCGCGAAAACGAGAAAACTCTCTCGATCCACGTAATGATGCTCCTCTGCCCAATGGAGCAGCTCGCGGGAGATCCATCCGACCGTGATGCCATAGACCACACTCAAGAGCACGGTATACGCCCAGGTCTCATAGAACCATAACCCTATGGCCTTCCCCGCACCACCACTGTAGGCCTCACCTCCCATCTCGACATACTTGAGCAGATACAGGCCAAAATACAGGAATGGGTACCCCAGGCCGTCATTGGCCCCGGACTCCGCGACGATGATGCGCTGCAGCGGACGGGGCACATGCTTATCGGCGAATTTCCCCTTGACGATCGAGTTGGAAAGTACCGGGTCCGTCGGGGTGATACAGGCGGCCACGACAAGGGCATGCAAGAACGGGAAATCCGGAACCATTGCCCAGATAACTAGACTGCTGCACATCCACATGGCCGCCATGCCCGGTCCCAGGAGCAGAGATAGACTCCTCCATTCCAGCTGCAGGTACCGTTTGGGGAGCTGCACCCCGGCTAGGACGAGCTGGACCCCTAGAACAAGCCGGGTGAAGTACATGGTGATCTCCCCCAGGTTCTGCTCCGACCCAAGGGCATACTCCTCGGGTCGAATGAAGTTGGCGGCATGCGGGGAGAAGATGACTCCCGCAAGCAAGGAGATTACTACGAGGTGTCAGTCTTGGGTTTGGCGCATCAAGTGTTGTCCAAGGAGCTGACGCACAGGCTTCAGATAGGTATAATCTCTCCTTGAATAAGTAGGAGACTAATCCAAAGAGGGAGATGAATCCTCCTAAGGTCGCACAGACTATGTTGAAATTGATCAACGATAGGGTAGGCATGGGTGGCAATCGGTCTCCAGATGGGAACTACCAGCTTTGAGACAATTTTGTCGCTATTTGTTCTTCTGAGCGTCTAAGTATGTAAGAGTCCACAAGCACGTGTTATTCAATCATAGCAAGAGCACTTCTAAATGCGTGGGGTTGTCCTTGGATCATTCGATTAATCGAGGATTTCGCAGCAGCCAGAACAGCGGCTGGTGGGGGGAAGCAAGCAGTGAGCGGGGTTTAGACTCGATGGCAAGAGAGGGTGACACAGAGCAAAGAGAGGGTAAGAGTGCCAAAGCAATCAGCTCAGGGAACGAGTGAGGTCCTGATGAGGTCCTGACGAGGTCCTAAATAGATATCGTGACAAGGTAATCCGGAGTGTGGAGAGGTTAGTTTTGAGGGCCAGTTCGGTAGTGGGAGGAAAGTCCCGGCTATTATTTTTTAAGGCTTGGCCAACTACCTAAAGTACGGTAACTACTAATTAACTACCTAACTACTAAACTACCTAAAGCAAACTCCCATCCCGCTTTGAGCCTAACGTTTCTTGTAAAATAGGCCTATGTACCTAGGTATGCACTGACCCATCCACATCCATGATGTGTCCAGAAATCAACATTTGGGCAGCTAAGCATCCAGACGGTGTAGTCCATTGGTATCTCTCCCTCCAGGGGTATTCTGTCGGTGTAGAAAGCTAAATACACATTGAAGGTATAACGGAGTTACTCGAATGTAACGCAAATCAAGTATCACAACATCACAACATCACAAACAGCAGACCAGCTCGGAGCATTGTTCAATGCATCATTCCATCCAGGATTCAGCTGAGTAGATTCTCCATTAGAAATCGTCGTCATCGTCATTATCATCATCAAACAGATCATCCGGGATCTCTTTGGCTGCTGCTGCCATCGCCGCAGCCTTCTCGGCCACTCCACGTTGGGCGCCATTCACAGCCAGGCGGTCGGCAGCTTCGTTGCCCGGATGCGAGCTGTGGCCTTTCACCCATTCGAATAAGGTCTGCACTTTCAGCTCGTTGCGCTCGTCAATTTTGGACAAAATCGACTCGACCAAATCTTTGTTGTCCACCGGTTTGTTACCCACTGTCATCCAATTATTCTGTCGCCATTTGCGATACCAGACTGTCACGCACTTGATGGAATACTGGCTATCTGTGAAGATGGTCACGTCCCGATGGCGGGGAGCAATTTCAAGAGCTCGAAGGATTGCAGTCAATTCCGCTCGTTGGTTTGTTTGACGGCTACCCTGTAGAGGCTCGGACACATTTCTGCTGAGTGATGAAGAGTTAGTGGAACATTGCGATCTTAGCGTGTTGCGGCCGGGAGCTCGAAAGGACACAGATGATCTGTTGGTGAGTCACTAACCTTGAATCTCCTGGGCCGAAATATACGCCCACACCCGCTGAAGCCAGCGCTCTCCCGTTCTTGAGGGAACTACCGTCGGTGTAGATGCGCAACATCCCCGGAGGGCCATTCGACTTCAGCTTTGTGGCAGCCTTCTGATCCGCAGATTTATAGATCACTTTCCCAGTGGTGGGATCCAGAAGCACATTCGGATCAAATCCGTCCGTGGTCCCAGGAGGTAAAGGTCCGGTTCCTGGCTCATAAGCCACGCCATGCGCATCCGTCGGGACCGCGTCTGTCAGACCTGGCGCCCCCGATAACTTAGCGGCCTTTGCGAAAGTGGTGCTGTTTCCTTGGTCCTCGTTTACGAATGCCTCGGCTTCCTCTCTGGTCGCAAATTTCTTGTACCGCGGCTTGGTGAACCCTTTGATCTGTTCCTGCGCCTTTGACCAGTCGGTGTAGACCCCGGGCACTCTCCCGCGCTGGACGCCGTAATATCTGGGGGGATCGGAGCTTGAGTTGTTTCCGCCGCGACCGGCGCCAACGGTGGCCCCCGTGAGGAAGGCTTTCGCATCATCGAAAGAAGAAAATGCCTGGACTGGTATGGTTGTCAGTCAGCGACCGCGCGACTAGGGTCGTTCACGACTTACAAACGGCTCCCTTGTACCCAGTTACCTGGGTCAGGCAATCGGTCCAGCTGTAGTAAACCCCCGGCTGATAGCCCGCTTTGACGGCATAGTATTTCCCTACTACATTGCGCTTGCGTTTGGTACCTGCGGTGGATGCGGAAGAATTTGTTCGGGAAGAGGTGTTTGTAGCAAGCACGGAGGTAGGGGAAGAAGTGGTATTGTTCATGGCGTCCAGGCCGCCGTTCGGCAGATTAGAGAGCGGAGTGTTTGATACAAAGAATAACACAACTTTCGAGACGGGAATAAGGTCAAAGTTCAAGTCGCTTGAAGGAGTGTGGCGGTGGGATAACTGGCGAAATTCAAATCGAGGAACGGGGATTCGTAACCTGCAGCTCAAAAGGGCACCCCTAGGTCCCTGTTTCGGAGCTACAACACAAAGCCGACAGACAGGCGTGGTGGAATAGTATCCGTTGTATGAAGGACCGGTGGAGATGAGGCTCTCTTCTGGATGTTAAAAAATGTAAATTGAGGTTGACAAAGAACTCCGGTGAGCATTGGACGGTTGAAGGGGGGGGGATGGAGTTTCTCAACGAAGCGGGGAGGGAAAAATGGGGGTAGGAAGGGAAGGGAAGGGAGGGGGGGGGGGTGGTTGAAAGAGACAGACAGAGGAGAGGGGGGGGAGGGGAGAACAGACCTGCATTAATCAACTTTCCCTCCCCCCCAAAAGCAACATCACGGGTTACTTTCTTGTATCTTCTTTCCCCTTGTAAATTTTCCCACCTGGAGAACGATTCATTTCTTATTCTTGGGGGTTCCCACTGTTCTCGTCACGGTACAATCATCGCAGTGACATATCTACTTTTGTCTGGTTCTCCAGGCACAGAGTGTGTGACTTTGACAGCGGATCGGATCTCAGTGAGCCAGTGGATTTTGGAAGCAGTTATTGTCAAAGTAACTCAGACAAAAGGGACTCCGTCCGTCGTCTGTAAAGTAATTCCATAGCAACGCTTTTATAAGGACTCGTCGTAATTGGAAATCGCTGGATGACGACCGTTGATGATGCGGCGGATGCGCTGGTCACGTGAATAGAGGTTGTCTTCTTGCCAATTTCGGTTACTTCGTTTCTCCAACAAGTCACCAAGTAACTTAAGCTCAAGTCCATCCATATGTTAGCTGGATATGCATCTTTGACCCACCAGCTTGTTATCGTGCATGATGAACTACGCGCATTTGATTGGCGTGTCTATTATAGCAAGCTCAAGCTGGAGTCTACCCGTTTCTTCATGCATCCTAGAACTTATGCTAATGGGCTTGCCGAACCAGGGCCATTCCTCGGTCTCCAAGGACCGTTGACCGACATCCTCCAAGACTCATTGAGGAATTAGATCTCATTATGTGCCTGCATTTACTGCTTCGAATTGCAGTACACGATAAGCAGGATTTCCCGACAACAACAGGACACATCAAGGGACTATGGCGTTGACCCTGAGCTATCTCCTCGTCCCTTCGATTAGGACAATGACGAGACGATAGACCATTGAGACACGGTGCTTCGGAACCATGTGGGTGGTCGCCAGCAGCCTAAACTAGCCAGCCCTATCTGTGAACACGGAACAAGCTCACTGGCTCCTTATGCTTATTTCACTGAAGCCTCTACATTCGCGTGATACTATTGCGAACCTGGCAGTACACGATTCGGGTCATCCGAGGCTTGTTGGTCCCTGACCCTAAGTTAATGCGACATACCCTCCGCTGACTAATGGGAATTTTGCGGTCCAACCTCCAATAACAGCGAGAATCTTAGAGCATAGCCTATCTTTCTAACATTTGGATGCGCTCACTCCAAGAAGCGACTGAGCCGGTGGATTTCAATCACTGGATGTGACGCGTCACCTGGGGTTTCGGGATGCCGTAATAAGCCAGACTGCCGTCTTCAGCTCCTCGTCTCGGCGTTTTGCTATGGTTTTTACCACCCGCGCGCGCTCGGCTTATCCGACTTGGCGTCCGGCGCAGACTAGATGTTGCGAGTCGCGACCCTGCGACTGCCGCATCGGCTATAGGAAGAAATGATGCCCTTGAACATTATCTGTTCAGATAGACTGCTGGTGGGCCTCGCGTCGTAATACTCGGGGACTTCATACCACAAATGTCGGAGCGTCTTCTCTTTTGTCATACAAGGACAGTGCTTGAGGACAAGAAGGGTTGACGGAGACTGCGAGAGATGTGGACTATAAATGGAGCCATGCGCCTACGTAGAAGATGTCTCTACACATTCCCACTGGCTGGCCATACTCGCTCTTTCATTCATATACTCCCATCTGACTAAAGTCATTCATTGATCTCATTTTCTTATATTTTTCTGGTACGATGAGATTCATCTCATTTGCCGTAACGGCAGCCTTGCTTGGCTTGACAAGCGCCACGAATTCTTCAACATCGGGTCTACTCAAGGCCAATGGTGGTAAGTAGACTGGCCATGTATCATGATTCTTGAAAGCATGCTAAACAACGAATAGTAACGCTGGGAGACTGGGAGGCTGCATATGAAAAGGCATCTGCCTTCGTTGCAGGACTGACTACTGATCAGAAGCTGGCTTTGATCACCGGTAGCAGTATTAGCTCGTCCAATGGCAACTTCACTGCCTTAGAGTTCCTTGATGGGGATATGGGTCTTCAGAACTATTTCTTTGTCTCTGCTTTCAGCTTGTCCTCCGCTCTGGCTATGACTTGGGACCGCGACGCCATCTATGCTCAAGCCAAAGCAGTTGGGTCGGAGTTCTATAACAAAGGCATTCAGGTGGTTGCTGGTCCTACTTCTCAGCCAATGGGTCGTACTCCTTGGGGTGGTCGTAATGTCGAGGGATTCGGCCCTGATCCCTATCTAAATGGCCTGGCTACTGGCCTGTCTACCAAGGGTTATGTCGACGCTGGAGTGATCCCCGGTGGCAAAGTAAGATGATCCACGGACAATGTAACTACGGGCTTGCTGACTCTAACTGCGCCATTTGCTAGCATTTTCTTCTTTACGAGCAAGAAACCAACCGGACTTCCAGTGGCGGCGGCGGTGGTGGTGGTGGTGGCGGCGGCCCCGGTGGTGCAAGTGGAGGAGGAATGCCTTCCGGGGGAATGGGCTTTGGTGGTTCCAACTCTTCGTCACCTGGGCCTCAGCCTTCCGGTTCATTCAGTCGGCGTGCTACTGTCTCCTCGAGCTCCGATTCGGCACCCTATTCCTCCAACGCAGACGACAAAACCTTGCACGAAACATACCTCTGGCCATTCTACGATGCAGTGAAGAATGGTCTTGGCGCCGTCATGTGCGCAATGACCAAAGTCAATGGCACTTACAGCTGCGAAAACTCGGATCTCCTGATGAAGACGCTCAAGACAGAGCTTGGCTTTCCGGGTCTGGTCTGGCCCGACATGAACGGGCAAAACAGCGCCGAAGGATCAGCATTAGGCGGCGAGGACTATGGCTCGAGCAGCATCTGGAGCACTTCTACAATGAAGACTCTTCTGTCGAATGGTACCCTCACCGAGGCCCGTTTGAACGACATGACAATTAGAAACCTTATTGGGTATTACCATGTCAATCTGGACAACGGCCTTCAACCTGCGATGCAAGATCAGGATGCCTATGTGGACGTACGAGGCAATCATTCCAAGCTAATCCGCGAGAACGGAGCCAAGTCGATGGCTTTGTTGAAGAATGAAGGCACTCTTCCGTTGAAAAAGCCCCGTGTGATGAGTATTTTTGGAGCCCATGCTGGCCCGGTCATGGGAGGTCCGAATGCTGCCATGAACGTCGAAGGGTCTGGCCCGACCTACCAAGGCCATTTGGCCACCGGCACAGGCTCTGGACAGGCATCTGTTCCTTACGTGATTACCCCTTACGTTGCCCTAACTAATAGAGCTGCGCAAGATGCAACTATGATGCGATGGATTATGAACGATACTTATAGCTCCAGTGGAGAATCCACGCTGATTCAAGAAGGAACTGACAGTACCGCCGTGTCACCCTCCTATGCTAATTATGCTACCAACTCGGATGTCTGCCTCGTTTTCATCAATGCTCTGTCAGGTGAGGGTGCCGACCGCACTGAGCTGTATAACGAGGATCAAGACATCATGGTGAACACAGTTGCAGACAACTGTAATAATACGGTGGTTGTGGTCAACACCGTTGGGCCCCGACTGCTGGACCAGTGGATTGAGCACGACAACGTGACGGCAGTTCTCTACGGATCTATTCTGGGCCAAGAGTCGGGCAACGCGATTGTGGACCTTCTCTATGGTGATGTGAACCCTTCCGGCCGTCTTATCCACACTATCGCCAAGAACGAGAGTGATTACAATGTGGAGCTCTGCTACACTGCTCAATGCAACTTTACTGAGGGTAAGTCGTCGTTGATCTTCGGGTATCGGTGCTCTTTGGCCTATAAACGCTGACTGCATCCACAGGAGTCTACATTGACTACCGCTATTTCAACGCCAAGAACGTCACTCCCAGATACCCATTCGGCCATGGTCTTTCTTACACCACTTTCAAGTACTCGGATCTCGCCATCAAGACCCCTTCTGCCACGACCAAAGCTCCCCGAGGTAACCATACCGTCGGTGGAAACAGTGATCTATGGGACGTTGTGGGAACCGTCTCTGCGCGCATCACCAATAATGGCACGCTTGCAGGTGCGGAGGTTCCCCAGCTGTACCTTGGCTTCCCAGATGCCGCAGATCAACCTGTTCGTCAGCTCCGCGGATTCGAGCGTGTTGAACTACGGGCAGGACAGGAGTCTCTTGTTACGTTCAACCTGCGCCGTCGCGACATTTCATACTGGGACGTGGCTGCTCAGCAATGGCTTGTTGCTTCTGGGAAATACCAGGTCTATGTTGGAGCAAGCTCTCGCGACTTGAGATTGACGGGAGCATTTTCTTTGAGAGTGGAGGCTTAGTATGGCTTGCCATTGAACTAGCTTGTGCCCAACATCTTGCCTAACATCTTGTGATTATAGAGTGCTCACTTCGATGCTACACCTCCCAGAGGCTTTAGATAATTCAATAAATTGCTGTGATTCTTGATCAATTCACCTATAACCCTGATATATAGTCAATTATGTGGTTATCCAAGAACTTGCAACCACTGCGTGTCCCAAACTCAGCCTTGTGAATACAGTAGAACCATTCCCATTCTAGATTATCGATTCCCATGGCTATTGTCTTATTCACAACCACCAAGCCTGGATCAATCTCTTCACCCATTTCGCTTCCACCGCAATTACCAATCTTTTCTCAAAACTGTCCGATCTCCTTCTCCTCTTCCTCTCTTCCATCTTCCAAGTCTCTCATCTACCAAGCTTCATTTCTTCTATCGTTCCTTCTTCCAGCTTTCCTTCATCCATCTTCATCATCCTTTCTTCTCTCTCTACTATACTCATAGCCACGCACCATGTTATGCAGCAATAAACTTATCATCTAGACGAAGATCTTGATTCGGAAGCCCTCTGAGCGCCAGAGAGACAGTTCATGTCCGATCTGCTTCTCTACTCAGTGGCCAGCACCCATGAGGAAGCCCAATAGGCTCGTAGTAGTCACACACTGGAAGAACTACCCCAAGCATACATTTGTGGTATTCATCAACCATAAACCGGCGTCTAAATCCTCAAGCATCAATTTTGACGCAGTGAGCGTCATTCAAACCTATTATAATGCATGGCTCTAACTCATGCCACAGGAAAGAAAGCTTGGATCGATGCAGTAGTGCGGCCGCGGATATCAACCCATAATCACAGGGAGAACAAGCTATCGAGCACTGAAGTCAGAGCCGATATCTGACGAAGCTCGTCAGCGTTTTGCACAGGCCATCGGTATACCTGTCCGCGTCGGACCCATCGAAGTCTCAAGGACTGCAATGGAGACTTCGCAACGCTCCAGGACCGCTTGCAGAAGGGGGGCACAGACCAGTACCTTGCATACAAGCATGTCTCGCCCGTGTCTCTCCTCTGTTCCTCCAGCACCCCCCTGGTATCCTCGGTTGCTCTGTCATTGCTTCGCCAAACTCTGGCGACGCTTAGAGTGAATTCAATCAAGATCATGCGTGGGCTTGACTGACTTAACAGCTTTATAGGCATGTTGGGCAGGTGCATGATAGTAGTTTCGTTGAGAACCTCATAAGAGAAATGGTCACGGTCGAACGCGCTGAGCTACCACACGTTCATGGGTGATCACCCACCAGAAGGATTATACGGAGCTCTATCCGGGGAACCCGCAGTGTCGATTCCTATTTACCCCTCCATCCCTGTGCCAGAGCATCCCGATGAAGTTGTTGATTCGGTGCGTGGCCGTGGATTCGGAAATCAAACGGAGCGACGGAGCGGCCTTACGCTTGGGCAGCTTTTGTGTCTGCATTGAGATGTATGGAAAGTTTCTATACGGGTCCCTGCCGTACCGCAGGCGGAGCAAGAGTCAAAGTCCGAGAGATGGCAATGGAGGGATGATTCCTACTATCTCGGACGCCTCCATCCGCAGAGCCAAAGGTCTTCATGAAGAAACTAAGACCTATCCGATGCAAATTACCGAACGCAATGCTGACCCCTTCAAGCGATCCCTTTCGAACGGGATGGCGGTTGCAGCTGCGTGCTTTGGCTTTTAACGTACTTCCTCTCTGCGCGAGAGTGCCACAAACTTCAAACAAAATGATGCAGCGGCCTTCGTTGCTCGGCTGACCTTCTGGGCACCTGAAACAACATCAGTCCTCCCTCGGGGATTTCGTTTCTGCAGCACTAGGTGCTATGGAAAATTGAAGCCTGGTTATGATTTGCGATGGGATGATGAACATGGCTCAACCACATGAAAGCCTGTAAGGATTTCCACTAGAAGTGGAACCTATCAACATTCTACCACTGCTGCACTGCTACATGGCTGTTGAACAGGTTACAATTCAAACCCGAAAACTCCCTCGAATTGGCAATGGTACAGCTTCTAAGCTTTGAGCCGTGCATGATTCTGTACAACGGCGCAGGGATTAGCGACCAGTTGTGGTCCCTTTGCAACCACTACGAAGTTGTACCTGCATGTATATCATGGACTCGGCGAGTCTCATACGATCATCTCCACAGTTCCGTCTGCCTCGGCATCTGGCCTTGCTTCTTATGGCTGCCAACGAACAGGGCAGCTAGAGGTCTGCATGATGTATAGGAGTCTATGCTCTCGAGGATAAGGTCACCATGCAACGCTGCAGCAATGCACTACTCCTGCATACCCCGGGAACCATTATGACGGCCAAGCAACCTGCACAAAGCGCACATCTTTGCTAATGTCCATAATCAATCGATAGCGATGTACAGATGAAGCACTGAGCCCTTGCCAGGAGACAAGCTGGCAGTTTACTGGAGTACAGCTCAACCGGGTTCGAAAGTCTTCAACTTACTGATTGTGTGACACTTACAGTAGTACACTTTAAGCTGGCTTTTCGCGCGACGAACTTCTGACATTGGACACAAGAAGTGAGGGGTTTGAGAACTCCAGTATTTCTAGGATGCGCATTCATGCGAACGCATTATTTATCCTGCGCAGAATGGACATCACCCATATGAGCAAGCAGTGCGACCACTGCTGGCTTAAAATTCCGCAACACTAACTTTTCACCTCCACGCTGGTGATGGCGTGGAACGAGAGTCATACACACACCAGAGGGCCAGATACACGGCAAATGTGCTTCACAAGCATAATGTGGTGGGCCGTTGGCAGAAGGTGGTAATCATCGAAGCCAAACGGTTTCCGCGTAAGAGTAAGCCTGGCTGGGAGGGACATTTCCACTGTTTGATTAGATAGATAATTCCCAATGATATCTCCTTCACCTGTTCCACAGTCTTATACCATCTAGCCCTAGACCTAGACTAGACACCAAGCACATACCACACCCACCATAACCACCATCAACCCCTCCTCCCCCGAACCCAATCAAGGCACCCCCCTCCCCTTCCGCACAGCCCTCGCCAACTCACTCTGCGCCTTATCCTCCGCATAGCGCCGATAAATCGGCAAATACCAGTCCCTCTCACTCAGCGTCTCCCTCACACTCCTCCTCCCCTCCACAGCCGCCACCCACCGCCGCCACCGCTCCCACACCCCTTCCTCCTCCTCACTCCCCGCCTGCCCCGGCGCCGGAACCCCCAATCCCCCCTTAAACTCATCAAACACCCACAACCGAACCGCCCACGGCGCGAGTACTACATCCACCAGACTCAACTCCTCGCCCAGGAAGTACGGGCCCTGCGGGTGCAGCTCCCGCGTGAACTCCTTCAGCGTGGCTAGAAACTCCGCGCGGAGGGTCTGGGGCTCCTCCTCCCCTGTATTACCCCCCTGGGACGAGGAGGGCAGGGGCTGATGCTGGAGGAAGCGGTGGAAGGCGGGGATGATGCGGGAGGTGACGTAGTCGATCCAGATGCGGGCGCGGGCGCGGAGGTACGGGTCCTGCGGGAGGAGGGCGGGCGTGTGCGTCGGGTAGGCTTCTTCGAGGTATTCGAGGATGACGGTGGACTCGTAGAGCGGGCGCGCAGTGGAGGAGGTATCCGGGGAGGTGATGGTCGGGACGAGGCCGCGCGGGTTTAGGGTGAGGAAGGAGGGTTGTTTGTGGTAGGGGTTCACTTCGATGTATTGGTACGGGATCTGTTTCTCTTCGAGGGCGAGCCAGACGCGTTGGACTGGGGGTTTTTGTTTAGTTTGGGTATTGGGGTTGGGGAGTAGGATGGTGGGTGGGTGGGTGAATACCGAAGCTGGGAGGCGTGAGTTAGTGTATTGGCAGTATGGATAGATAAGGTAGTCTAGACGGAGAGACTCACGGACAGAACCACCCCGCATAGAACTTCAGGGGCTGTTCGGCTTGGTGGTTGGCGACTAGAGCTTTGGCGGGGCCAGTGGCCTCGGGGTGGATATCGGCATCGGGGACTGGCATGCTGACGAGGGGAATAATCTCAATTCAATTGGGGAATTAATGGTTATGGTTGGAAGATGCCGAATGCAAGGTCAAGGAGGAGAAGAGGGGAATAAATAATGACGACAATCGATGGTGTCATCAGATAAGATTATTAATCCAGAACTATAGCTTGATAGCTGAGCTACAGAGTCATTGTCAACTACAGCCATCACTCAATCTCCCTCCTAACTCAATTGCCTCAATCACCTCATTCAACCATATTTCTTCAACAACTTCTCCATAATCGACACAGCCCCCGACCGATACCCCGCCCCAAAGATCGCATGATGATTCAGATGATGATACCTGTAGCAAGTCAGCCCTATCCAATCCCATTGATCAGCACGTAGGCAGAAGAACATACAACTCATACAACCTCACCCGATCCTCATACTCCTCCACCGGCTCCGTCTTCGGCACCAACCTGTGATATTCCTCAAAGAACTTGGCTCCAAACCCACCGAACATCCGCATAATCCCCAGCTCAAACTCGCTGTGCGCATAGCACGCCGAGGGATCATAGACCACATCCCCGGCCTTGTCGCTTTCAAGTCCACCCGCAATCCTCCCCCTCCCCGCATTCCCATTCCACAGATCCCCATGCACCACCACAGGCACAATCCCCTCCCCACCCCCCAAATGCCCCCTCCCCAACAGCCGGGGCACGACCGTCCCCGCCGTCCGCTCAACCAACTCCCGTAACCCGCCGTCCCGCCCATTCCGCCGCTCCGAGCTCTCAAGAATCGTGCGCAGCCGCTCATCCGCGTAGAACTCCGCCCAGTCATCGCAGAACCGGTTCGGCTGCTTCGTGTCCCCGCAGAACGTCGGCACGGGGAATCCAAACCGTCGTCGCCGGGTCTCCGGGTCCGGTGGGGCGGGCGTGGAGTGAAGCCGGGCGAGTCGGTGTGCGAGGGTAAAGGAAGAATCACTCGTGCGACGACCGCTGCCGCCGAGTTCGAGGTACTCGGTTAGGAGGTAGTAGCTCTTTTTCTTGGGGGGTGAGGTGGATGAGTCGTTGTCGGCAGCGTCGTCGTCGTCGTCGTCCAGGCTCCCCCACGCTAATGCCCGTGGGCAGAAGCCCGGCACGCTCGAGGCGATAGCATTCAGGGACTCGTACTCCCCGCGGAACATCTCTGCCGCGGAGGTGCCATCGGCGGAGGTCTTGACGAAGTAGCGGCGCTCTTCGTCGCGGCCGTCTGGGCCAGGCACCGTGGCGCGGATGGCGCCGGTGCTGGTGAAGCCGGAGCCTAGGCCGGAGGTGGACAGGCTGGTTTTGGCGGGGTCCGTGTTGGAAAGAGCCCGGAGGATTGAGGTGGGGACGGGTGCCATGATGAAAATTTGAATCGGGTTTGGAGAGATTGTGTGAAAGTGAGGAGAGAATTGAATGAGGGGAACAAGAGCAAATAAATTGGGTGATGGAGCAGCAATGACGTCGATTGTTTATCTTATCGCGATAAGATAAGGCATCGCTCGAGTCAGGACTCCGTACACAGGATAAATCATTTGCGCTCAATCCTACATACACAGCAAGCCCAACTCTACAGTCAGCACCAACTGTAGTGCGAGTATAATTGTAGCTACAGATCTACATCTTCATCACTTCCAGATCTTTATACATCAAGGTCCCATCCAACGCCGCCTACCGCAACCGCAGCATCCCACTGTCCAACAGAATCATCGCTATGCATGGGTCAAGGAATTCAGCATATCCTGGGCCGTTTTGGTTCTCTCGCGCACATCCAAGTCGGGATCATCGTCCAGACTGGCCAACCGATCCATCACTCCCATCGTCCGCATCCGGATCGCTCGATCGCGACATCCGTCCCGGTCGCTCGAATCATCCTGATACACCAGGTTGATCACCACCCACACACAGTTGATCCGTACATCCCGTTGGCTGTGGTTGAAGTATGTCATCAGATACTTCAACAGATCCCGGTGCATCTGAAGCAGTTGTCGGTGTCGCGGTAGGCCTGCCGCCAAATGGATGATCACGTACGTCACCGACACCAATATCTCCGTCGGTACGGACATCGTCCGCGAGGTCGGTACATCTCGTCGAGGCGGGAGGGAGATGGAACGCGGCCGCAGCTTGTCTGCCAGCGCATCCAGAAGCAGATCCTGCCCAATCTCCTTGAACAAATGGTCGATCATCTCAAACGCACCGGGCCCGCAGATGATGTTACGCAGTAGGTCAAAGGTTTGTTCCTGGACCGCAATATCGTCCTGTCGAGCCCGCGTCGTCTGGTCCAAATCGCCTTGCAAAGTCAACTTGCGTCGCCGGGTGGCATCCGGAAGGAACATGTCGAGACTGATTTTGTGCGAGGGCACCGTATCGGCCATTTTCATATCCTCGTCCCCACCGCTCTCCACCGGGTTCAACAGGTCCACCTGCTCTCCAGCCGAGTTGGCTCGGCTCATGCCCGCGCTGGTGCTGCTGTCCGCCTCCTCGTCCATTCCGCGCTTGGCTAAAGCAGTGGTAGGATCCTGGGTGATGACCTGTTTGATCCATTCCGCACCCAGTCCTTCTATGATCTTTATCTTTACATCATTGGTCGAGTTATATGCAACATGCTTCAGGGCCCACAGCGATTCTATCCGCAACTTTGTGCTTTGGGAATGAGCATGTTCACACAAAATGGGAAGAACATCGGCCGAGATGATTGCCTATGTGCGGATAAAAGTTAGTGCACGAGAAAGAGCCGAATGATCAATTGACTGACCTCTTTCATTGGACTGAAGTCCAAAGCCAGGTTACAAATGACCTGCGTCGCTGCAATCTGGACCTCAATGTCGGGGTGTCTAATCAAGACAAACAAGGGCGTCGCGACGCCCGCATCAATCAGACTCGTGCGGAGGACACTCACCGAACGAGTGAGCATGCGTGCGGCCCCGCAGGCTGCCAGCAGGGTGGGTGTGGGGTTGCCATCGGCCACAGTGTTCTTTGGAGTCGACGTGTCCCCCGACAATTCGTCTGAGCACGGCTTGAGAGAGTCGATAATGTACGGCACCACCCCGTTCTCACAGACGGCTTTGCGATATTCGTCCTTGAAGGGAACCAAAGCCGCCAAGGCTTTGAGGATGTTCTCACGATATCGCATGACATGGCAGTGGATCGGTGAAAAGCCCGGAGGACCGAGCTGGCATTCTGGGGAGGTGGTGTCCGGGCCCAGCAGGCCCTCTTCACCGTCCGCATGCCACATGGGGCGGATGGTGTCTTGAACTGGGTTGTAGGTTTCTTTCAACAGCTGCGACAACCTCTTGATAGCGCCTCCCTCATAAGCATGTCTCTGCAGTTCGTGATCATCAATCACTAATAATGCCAGCACGAACGGGGCTTCTTCTCTGAGACGCTCGGATGAAGGAATCAAGCCCCCATATTGCACCCCGTCATCGGCGGTCACTTCATAATCCTTATCCAGCATGCGAATCAAAATAGGAATCATCAGGTAACATAGCATAGATACGCGATGCTTCTTTGTAAGGCCAAGACGGAACAGAACTGTGGCAAGTCGTGCCGCCATCAATCGCACCATCCCGCTCTCGCTACGGACAATGTACAAAAGCCATGGCACGACCGCATTCTCTTCGTCCTCGGCAGAAGGCATTTCGAAGCTAGGGAGCGGCGTCGGAAACGAGTGGCTGTGTCGGCGATGTGTGGTACCCTGGTGGCCAAGGGGAGGAAAATTGGAGGTGCTGGGAGAGGCCTTGTTCTGCGCCAGCGGCACCGATGGCAGTAGATTCTCCAACGGGCTGGCACCTGCATGTCGGGGTACAGCCGAGCCCGACAGGTAGGTCGCACCCCATGGTCCTCGCTTGATGTCCCACGGAGCAAATTCGGCCAATTGCTTGGGGAACACAGTCAGGATCCCCGGCGAAGAGAGAAAATGCTCCGCGCGCCACTTAGAATGCTCCACAATGACGGTAACAGCGCGGAGGATAGGCGCCAGTTTTGCGCCCGGGGGTGCCGGGGGCGGTAGGAACCCCAGAGCTCCAGGCTCTTGAACATGCTCCTCAGCACCAGGATAGACAAATCCCTGCGCGACCACGAACGAGGCAACTTTCACCGCCAAGGCATCCAGTACTCCGCACTCAGCCAAGACCGCCTTATGAGATTCCTCCGTACACAACTTCCCGATGAGGGATGCGGCGAGCTCAATTGCTGCTTGATCGTGGTGGTTGCCGTAGTCGCGACCTATGATGCGAGCGAAGCAGCCAATATACTCGCTGGAGAAGACGAGATCGGCCAAACGGGTATCTTTAAAAAATCGTTGTTGGCTTTGTAGCGGTAGTCGGTCGGCAACGTTATTCAATGTTCGGAGTATCGGATGAATATAGAACGTCGGGCAGTCAGGCTTGGACAATATGGATAGGAGGGTCGAGAGTATGCCGCTGGCAAGGATAGGGGACAGAAAAGAGGCACCGCCTGTGTCGAGACCAAATCAGTCACTGCATGCAACACTCTCGGAATACCAGTACCTTGTGCTAAGCTCCCCATGATGACGATCGCTTGTAAGCATGTTTCATCGTCCTCGGACTGAGGACAACGAAGCTTCGCGGCTCCGTTGACTTCTGGTGTAACAATATCCTTGCCATGGCGGGCTGCGAGAATATTGGCCAGTACGGGGATGATCCCCCACCGCACCCAGGCCTCTTTCCGCTGGTTATGGCCTATCGTCTCATTCTTTAAGCTTCGCAAAGCCGCCGCCTGTGCTGGTAGAGAGTCCGCTGTCTGGAGTTGAAGCAGCAGCGGAGGCGCTGAAGCGCGGGTCATGGTCCGAAGTCGCCGCCTCCCGCGGGAGGGCCGTGGAATCGATTACGTCGAGGAACAGGAGGAGCGCTGATTGCGCCGAAAAACAATGGGGGGAGAGACACAGATATAGAATTTAACCAGACACTTTTAAATTCAATTTTATGTAGTCTTCCCTTCACAACGAGAAAGTAGCTTTGACGATCAGCTAGTTGGCAACGATGGTTGAATGGCAATGGAATGGATGGAGGATGAAATGATAACTGGTCAAGGTCACGGCGGCGAAGACCCTCGGCGACTGGGGGACTGGGGAGGGTCCAGAAGTGCGACTCGTGAAGCACCACCAACCAAGCAAAGCAAGGTCCGATGAACAAGTGTTTCGAAGACAGATGGAAAACGGGAACCACAAGCAACCAGAAATTGATCTCACAACGACCAGCTCCAAATGATTGAGTGGTTGATGCAGCTGTCCACGGTCGATAGCTCGCTGTCCGTTGCCGGCCGCTGACCGCTTTCGGCGTCTTATCAGGTGATGTCACCTGATTGGCATCCGACTGGGATGTACTCGACATAGCTGACTCAGCCTGGTATTAAGATGTGAATGTGAGTGCCTTATGTACAATACAGTCATGTGATTCAGCCCTACCGTCGATTATCGGCGTCGAGGAGACCCATAGTCTACCTCTCTCGCGCAATTCTGGTGTTGCAATATCATGTTACGAGACACTGAGGCTTGTGTAGCAACAGAGTCAATGGTATACAGCCATTGCTCAACCACGAATTGAGTTTGAGCTCGGTGTTCCCACGAGGTCCAGGTCGGTCAACCCGAAAGAGGGAGCAAGAAATGTGTAACCCCAAAAGTTGAACCCGGGAGGGTTGGGGTTGGAGACCATCTCGGAGTTAAAGTGAGTGGGTGTGTGAATCCAGACCGCTCACTCGTATGGGTAAAAGCAAAGATTCGAAGCGCATGATCACCAGTTGACAGCTGACTTGGGCTATAAAGGGGAGACCATGGGAAAGAGTGTCTTTTCCTAGTTACCGGGACGAATCCCTCTCTCATCAATGGACACCATCATGAAGAAGCTGGAGGATACATCATAGACCCCTGCCAATAGGCAAAGGGTCAGGTTCCTTGCTTACGCCAACCCCGAGATCCTTGACTATCTCCAATGAATTCAATCCTAATCAATCCATTAGCCGCACTGCGCGCTCCGTACGGGGCGGGGCGAATGTATCGAATTATCGATGGTGGCTTTTGTGTAATACGCTACGGACGGTGGTGCCGACAAACCCGTATGACTGGTATTCACCTGGACACTCATCGATTCTAATTGGTGGCTTGGACCCCCTTGACAAGCAAAAGACTGGAGGGAGATAGGAATTTCTCTCCACATGGAAGCAGTGTGGTATTGATAATTACCCGTAAGATGTCGTGATAAAGTCGCAGGACGAGTAAAGAAAAATAAAAAAAAAACTTGAATGGAACTTAGCATTGTACTAGGTACGGTACTAGTACGTAGTGTACGGACTACGGAGTAGTTCCCCCCTCTTTGTTCGAGTTCCCTGATCAGCGTCATTGTTTTATTTTTCGTTTCTCCTCTTCCTCCTCCTCCCTCTCTCCTCTTCTTCTCACCTCCACTTTTCTTCTACCCTTATCTTACTCAGTACAGTATCTTTGTTGTGTACGGCTTCTTCCTCTTTTGCGCCCAAAAGAGTCGAAGTTCTCCTTCCCCTATCCATTCCCCACAGACCACAATGTGTCTGTGCACGCCGCCCTTGCCTCTCGCCGCAGCACAAGGTTTCGCAGCGTCTGCCAGCTTCGTTGCACGTCGTCTAGTCGTGCGCCCACGTGGTGGTCTCGTTGGGCGGAGATGCTAGTTTCATCGCCTTCACCTTCCGCCGCCTTGCGCCCATCTCCCGCCTCTCCTCACACACACCATCCTCATCCTCCTCATCCTCCCCATCCTCCATCTGCTCCTCATTCTTCGCATTCCCAACCTTCCATCCCTTTATCCTCCTCCTCGGCGGTTTCCTCCTCCTCTCCCCGTCCGCGTTCTCGTCGCCCTTCGACCACGACGACCTCCATTCCTTCACATGACCAGTATGAGCCCTCCGGGCCCGTTCCTGCTACCTCGTCCAGACATCGATTCGATCTCCATTCTTCCCGCGCCGCCATTGAAGAGCTGCGATCAGCTCTAAAGCGGCACACTGTTGGTCATTTCCCTTCGGGGCCCTCAGGGGATCTGCCTCGCGGTCGGATGTCCGCCGGGCTGACCTCCTCTGGGGGCGGAAGTAGCATCACGTCTGACGCCGCCATTCCCGCCTCCCACCAGCACAGTCACCATCACCTTCACCCTACTGCTCCTTCGCAAACGTCTGTTCCTGCAGCCGCCGCCACCGCTGCCGCTTCTTCCGCCCCTGCCCCTGCCCCTGTCTCCCATTCAACCGCTACGCCTCCCATGCCGGCTCCCAGCAGCGTTGGTCCAGGGTCCAATAAGCGTAACAGCCCCAACGGCCCGACCAACGATGGGACGCGGCCCGGTGCGATGGGCCATGCAGACCTGGAAGGCTCTCAGAGCAAACGTTTACGCCCGGAAAAGCCCGTTGTGAAGTTGCTGCCGGCCCAGTACGAGCTGGCTGATGCTCGGGATCTAGTGGTGTTAATCTCCAGCATGCTGATGGAACTGATCCGATTCAACGATAAAATCCCCCTTCATCAAGGCCGGCTGACCCGCTTTCACTCTCGCACGCCACCCCGCATCTCCGTTCATGACTACTTGCAACGGCTCACGACCCACGCCACACTCTCGCCCCCGATCCTGCTCAGCATGGTATACTATATCGATCGGCTCTGTGCCATGTATCCCGCCTTCACGGTTTCCAGTCTGACAATCCATCGGTTCTTGATTACCAGCGCTACAGTTGCCAGCAAGGGTTTGAGCGACAGTTTCTGGACCAACAAGACCTACGCACGGGTTGGGGGCATCAGCATGACCGAGTTGGCACTGCTGGAGCTGGAGTTTCTCTTCCGCGTCGAATGGCGCATTGTTCCCGAACCGGAAGTGCTCGTGGACTATTACCAGAGCCTGGTAGAGCGCTGCGATGGGTATGCAATTCAACGGGATAGTTGAATTGTGCATGTCCTGGGTATTTTTATTTTTCAACCACTTTCCTCTTATATGACTTGCCTTGAATTTGAGTCTCGGAGAGCAGCCCGCACGGGGGCGTAACTGCGGACGTTTCATCAGTGTCTGTACTAGTACATACATACACATACATGGGGCTTGGAGTTGATGTTGTTTTTGTGCATGGATACGACGGCGATCAAGTGATTTATATCCATACGGCTTGTTTTCTTTTCCTTTCAAGTGTTTTTCCTGCGCTTTGCCTTCTCTTGTTCGTCCGAATTATAACTCTTGTACAGCCCGCATTTCCGGATTTGAGTTCGAATTCTCACACTCTACATGTGTGTCGTGTCTATGTAGTCAATCGAACTCTGGATACGTACTTCGAATAGAACCATACTTAAAGTGGTTGGCGTTGCATGACGTCTACGATTCATCAAGTCTGCACTAAACTGTACTGGTACAACGTAGGGCTTAGGGTACAGGGCTCAGGGTTGCGGAGGCTTCCATCCATGGAAAACCATCTTTGCGGTTCAGACCTCAATGGTACTATCAGGCAGAGGCTCAGTCTGCACTGGCTATACCTGGTTGCTCACCCAAGTGCAAGGCATGAGTCGTCTTTATACATATAGAATTGATTCCTCACTTCCGATTTGCTCGACATCTCTTTGCTAAAACTGCAGTCTCTCACGACAAGTCTATACCATTCTGATTACTCTCACGATGGATGCGGAGAACATGCTGCGCGAGGTTCAACCTCTCGTGGGCGAAGTGGTTCCCATTCGCTCCGTACAGGAGACTCGCCCAGTTGAAGACTACGGTACGTCTGCAGGTGAATCGGGTTTCGCTCAATCAGCTCACGATTTCGGCCAGCGGACGCGTACGTCGCTGAAGTCAACGTCAAGACCGCGTCGAAAGTCATCAAGTCAGTTTCCCCCTTCCTCATCCCTGCTAGCTTCCTTTCTATCTGCAACAATAACAAGAACAATCACTGACCAGTAAAAATAGAGCTCTCGACTCCGCCTTCCCCCGCGACTCCTCCCACCCCCTAAATCACCTCCGCCGCTTCGCCAAGCACAACCAGATCCCCGAGTCACTCCGCCCCGCCCTTCTCAAGGAAGGCTACCTCCCCTCGCAAACCATCTTCGTCCTCGTTCCGTCTCCACTCCCAGCCCCAGAGGCCCTACAGACCCTCCTGGCTCCCTTCGTACCGCCGCCCCGAGAAACCCCGCTCCCCCAAACCCCGACCGCCGGTCCCTCTTTGCCATCCACCCCAGCACCACCACCCGCAGCCGCCGAAACCACCACCCCTGCGACCAGCAACATCACCCTCCACACGATAACCGTCCCAATGCAACCCCCCTTGACCCCCACACAAGCCGAGCACTGGTCCTCAAAAATGTGGCCCGTAGTCTTCAACCCCGCCGCGCCGCGCGCGCTGATCGCCCCACCACCCCAGATCCTCTCCCGGGTCCGCGACGCCATCGCCCCGAAAGCCGGCCGCTACCTGGCTCTGGCGCAGGCCGTCGCCGCCCAGGCGGAGCGGAGCGGTCTTGGCCGCGGGGTGGGCGCCGTGGTCGTGGACCCGGAACTAGAACCCGTCCCTGAAAATTCGACCGAAGGCGCCGAAGAGGGAAGCAGCTGGACCGACGCGATCGTGGCCGTCGCCGGAGACGGCCGGTACTCCCGGCGGGAGGGGGGCAACCCCGCGCAGGCGGAGATCGCGGGCGGCAGCGGGCCGAGTCCGCATTGCGGGACGTACAATGCCGACTGGGAAGGGGGTCCGGAGCTGCATGCGCTGATGCGGGCGGTGGAGTTGATCTCGAGCAAGCGGCGGGAGGACAAGCCTGGTTCTCGACGGCAGAAGATACGACCCGTGTTGTACGGGCTAGAGGAGTACTTTCTCCGGAAGTCGGATGTTCCGCTCTCCTCCGCGGAGACGGGGGCGGGAGTGGCAGAGGAGGAGGAGACTGAGGATGCGGTTGCGCCGCCGCCGGAGAAGTATCAGAAGACTACCGAGACAGAGGCACATGCGATCCACCTCCATCACCACAAGGAGGCGGAGGAACAGAAGGTAGATGCGGATGGGGGTGGGGATGGGGGTGGAGGTGCAGGAGGTGTGGGGCCGCGGATCCGCTCCCGCGAGCAGGGAGGCTATCTCTGCAACGACCTGGATGTGTACCTGTCGCATGAGCCGTGCATCTGCTGCTGTATGGGGCTGCTTCTCTCGCGGTTCCGTGCGGTGATATTCCCGCGCCGCGGCCGGATGGTGTCCGGCGGTCTGGCCTCGGAGCCCGTGGTCAAGCCGGTGCCCGTTGAGGCTGGGTCTGATCATCCAGTGGAGACGGCTGAGGGCGGTACTGATGATGCCTCGACGAAGAATCGGGAGTACTACGGCCTACATTGGCGCAAGGAGTTGAACTGGCGCGCCCTTGGCTTCGAGTTCGTCGCGGCTGGGGAGTCAGAGGCTACCAGTGCCGAGACCGGTGTCGCATTTCATGCATAATGCGTGCAAAAAGCCTAGCATAATCATATTTGTACTATATTATCAAGCCATATACTATAGACAACAGCCATAACTAAAAACAATACAAGCATAGCGAATCAAGCCGATTATCAACTCTCAAAGAGCGCAATGCGAGCCTAGTCCTTGGTACGCCATGCCATCTGGATTCCACCTTAGAAACTCTTCTCTAAGGTCCGAGTTGCTGTGGGCGTGCGCCAAACATAAATCCAATCACTTTGTTCAGGCGTGAATATTATTGCTGTTGCTATTACACTAATCGAAGTAATCTCATATCCGTTGTCGAGTGCAGATTAGACCAGACTGGGCAGGGTATCTCTTCTTCCAAGTTGACAATCATAACAGCCAAATCGAGCATGACACCTGTATTCACGTCCGTAACCAGACCCTATGTAGGCTGTCTGATCCTTTTGAGAGTGGCGCTGTAAACGCTTTTTTCCTCCCGAGCTAGTTTCAGTAAATCTTTCAAATCAAGAATATGCGGAGTCCCGGGCGAACATTGCAAGGCCGATGCTCCAGTCCAGTAGTGACTCGGCTTGCAATATCTGCTTTCCGAACCAGCTCTGAAACTTATCTGGGGCCGTGCAGATGGCCGTGCAAGTTGGGTCTGGACTAACACTACTACTGATGTCACGTCGTATAAGTAAAAGTATCGTCGCTAGATAGAGAAGGGGCCTTCTGGGCTTGATTCTGTAGCCGATGCGACTGCACTTGGGGCCTCGTTGTAGAAAAGATGGCCCGAGTGGCGTGGACTCGCCCCTCTCTTGTTGGGTGCACGTCGCAGCGGGTTCTTCGGGGTTTCACCGGTGATCTTTGATGTATGATTCGCGAAACTGCGGTGGATTGGATCCAGCCGCACGATCTTTCGTTGCTTGAAGGAATGGTTGGGATCGATCTATCCTGGGATCGATGAGTACTGTACGCATGTAAAGGGCTATTTTAACGAGAGGCATAATGAAAAATGCGAATGGTCTTCGACTGGGAAAAGCTTCGAATGAGGCGCGGAGAGGATCGATCGAGAATGACTTGGTGAATTGCTTCAGATCATGTGGCCAATCTATCAGCTACACCGATACTGTGAATATGTAGAGATATGTATGGTCCCATTATGGCTGCTCTATGCTGGGTACTTGCGGGAAAAAAGAGTATGGCTCTTGTGCTTGGGTATGTGCTCTAAACAGTATTAACATGTTGGCCTAAGGCTAGCATGTACTTCTCGAGAAAATCAGAACTCAGCAACGAATCAATACTCGTACAAATCTATTATCGAACACGTGTATGTAAGGTACAACAATCAAACACCAGATCTCCGTCAATGACACCATCCATATCACCAAAGCCGTGAAAATCATTCCCAATAACGCAGCCCAAGAAGACAAGATGACCACCCCCGCCGATTAAGTAGTAAACAAAGCTTGTCGGTATGTACAGAAATTTTCTCAGTATAGATACAAGTGAATTAGAGACGAAGTAAAAAGAACCGTGGTATCGTGTCGCACAGTCGTGGTGAACAGAGTGGTATCATAAGTGGCAGGAACAAGAGCGAAAATCAAAGCAGATAAGCCAACCCAGAAAATAGGTGGAAGCGCAATTTGTACAAGAGGAAAGATAAATCATTCTTCCATCAGAGCGTCGCCGCCGGTTTCCCGCCATTCTTTGGAGCGGTCAGTCAAGCGGCGGACTCCAGCCACGCGCTGTGCCCAGTGAGCTTCAGCAGGAGAACGGAAGGTGTAACCACGCTGCGAGGAGATCACGCCGATTCCCTGCAGAACAGCCTTGCGCGAGTCGCGGGAGAAAACAGCTGGGTGGTTGATCCACTCCAGAGCGGCCTTGAGATCAGCGTCCAAGGCGGTCATGGTCTGCGCGTCAACCCCAGCTCCTGGCGTGATGGTTGCCGTGTCTGAAGATCCGGAGTGGCCATCGTATGAGGACGATGTGGGGGTCCCACCTCGACTACCAGAGTCACTAGCACTAGAGGGCTTCGCTCCAGGAGGAAGAGGAGGCAGGCTACCCTTGCCAAGACCCTTCAGGATACTGCGAGTCTCGGTCAAAAGATGTTGTGCGCGATCATGCTGCCCACGCGACACGAGGATGAGTGCTCTCGTTAGCATGTCGGACGTCAATAACTCCATGCGTCGCTGAACAATGGACGGAAGAGGCGGAATAGGGGGGCTAGAGGGACGGCCAGGCTTGGCTTTCGGGTTCGGAGGAAGCATAGTAATGGCCAACAGCGAAGGTCGGGGAGAATGTGTGAGATGGCCGTCTCTCAAGAGGTCACCATAAGTCAGATCTGCCTGGATCAATGGGACCTCCTCCACACTGGACACACGCTGGTCATCAGTGTCCGATACACCTCCAAGTGCCTCGAGTCCCGAGACTAGACTCTCCCAGGCGTCTTGAGGCAGATTGTCCTGACTCGAATTATCCGGAGAAATAACGAGTTGAACGAGAATGTCGCGCTTATCTCCGAAGCGCAGATCTCCAAGAGCAGCCTCCGCATCGCGCCCTGTGGCCCTTTTTGTGGTGTGAAGAGCGCCGCTAATCTTGACGAACTTGGCCGGGGACCCTTCGGGCAGACGAAGCTTGAGTTTGACATTTTGGTGCGAAGTCGATTGCAGGGAACCCAAGCAACCAGCCACGCACTCGCGAAGCATCATCCAGTCCTTGACATAGAGGTATGAACCTTTGGTGCGAGTTGACAGTTCGATCATCGTGTCCGGTTTGTGGGTCAATCCTAGACCGAAGGAGTGAATGCTAATCCTGCATATGGTCAGTATAAAAGCACTTCTCAAGGTGGTATGACGAATACGAACTTGGCAGCCTCCGCACGGGAGACAACGAAATCGACACTCTCCGGATCGGACGTGGAGGAATCGCTGATCAAAAGGATAGAGGAGACAGGGTTGGCCGACTTGCGCTGCATGAGCAGGTCCATAGCCACATTAGCACCTTCAACGACGTCGGCACGAAGGCTCTTCTGGCCCACCGGGCGGATAGAGTCAAGAATCTTGCTCCAACCACCCCAATTCTTGGTAGTCATGCCGACTAGCGGGACCCCTCCACCACTCGAGCCGAAAGTCACCAACCCCATGCGATCGCGAGGGCCAAGGTTCTGTACAAGGAACTTGAGAGCATCTCGGAGGAGAGTAATCTTCAGTCCCTGCATGGACGAAGAGACCGGTATCACGACAACAAGGTCCAGGGGAATGTGAAACGAGGATTGATATGGACTATCCATGCCGGCATTGGTATAATCGGTTATAGCCGTGTTGTTGGAGCGAGCCGCTCCGTGGGACGAGTTTAGAGAAGCCTGGCGTTTGATCTGGCTGGCTCGGTACTCTTCTTCCTCCGCACCAGAATTATCCAAGTCAAAGTCGCCGTTCCGGGACATGCCATCCACTGGATGTAAATCGATGAGGGCCCGTCGCCAAATGTCAAGCTGTTTCCGGGTAGGGAAGCGAAGGTAGAAGCAAGGAAGCTCGGCCACAGACAAGTTCAAAGTCAGGACAAGGTCATCTACACCACTGTCAGTCATCAAGGTCACCTACTCCTGGCAGTTCAACTCACCTGGCGAGACCTCCATGCTCTGAAGGTGCTTCTTGATCAAGATTGATCCTTTCAGCGTTGACCTCGTAGTCTTTGCCTTCGCTGGCTCCTCATCAGGGTGACGACGGGGGTTGCTTTTCTTCTCCTTCACACAAATGAGCATCTCACCGAACAGATAGCATTCCAGCTCCTGCCAGGATTGACGATCTTTGCCCACGCTCATCTGACCATGCAATCTAAGCTTGCCGAACCTTTACTCACGTCAGCTTCAGGGATGCACCAGCAATTGATGAAATGAACCTACCGTTGGAATTCCAGGCCATGCCAATTGTCAACTTTCTTACGCAACTGCTCCGCAAGTTCGTCCAGATTCTCCTGCGGTTCGAAGGGAATCTGTCGAGGCTCTTGAACGGTGGGAAATCGCATGGCGCTCAATGTTTCGTCCTGTGGTTGAGGCGTAGCATTTTCTGTGTGGCGTAAATCATCGTCATCTGGGCGCCAACTACCCTCGGGCACTTCGACGGTGATTAGACAGGTCAGGGCCTGCTGTTGGCGGGAACGGTTGAGAGTGGGAAATTCGCTGCGAATGGTCACAGTCGGAGCCGGGATGGGGTTCTTCGTAATGGGTGGACGGGGGCTGAGGTCGGATTCCATGGCTTGCACGTCGTAGTCATGCCGTCTGACATTGGCCGAATGTTGTGGATCATTGTAATCGGCGGATGACCCGGCGGCACTACCGTTTCGTGAATGCTGTTGGCGGGAGCCCTGGGTAAGACGTTCGACACGATCGCGATGGCTGCCAGTGTCTCTGCTGTCTCGACGGATATACATATCCCGGCTTTCGCGGTTGGTATTAGGGCGACTTCCTACATCACTGGGACGACGTCCGGGGGCTGAGTTCGAATCCCATGGCGTAGGGGTCGTATAACCACTTCGTTGCGTAGCTGCGTCGCTGGTCACTGAGCGGACAATATTGCTTAGTTTTTCTATGCATGATCGATCAGCACATGTCAATATGACACCTAGAGCGCACCTTCCACCTACCAAGATCGAGCACATTGCCTCCCCGACTAGTGTCCAAGCCAAGCGGCGCATCGCATGTAGGGCAGTACTGGCCCTCACATTCGCGGATGAACTCATAGAAGCAGGCCTCGTGTGATACGTGTGCGCAGGAGAATTGCAGAACTCGCTCTCCCCGCAGGGTATGCTCTAAGGGCTCGTCACACACGGCGCAATCACTGCCCACAAAGGTCCTCTCGCGCCGCGTCCGGCTGCGGTCCACGTCCACGGCCGCCATGGGGTTTGCTGCGCCGACAGAGCCAGAAGATGAATTGAGGTTATTGTTCGGATAGCCGGAAGCACTATTCGCGTTCGAAGATGCGCGGGGTCGAGTGGGGTCGGAATGGCCTGAATAACCGCTCCCTGGACGGTCTGAACGGTGGGTAAAGGAA